GTAGCCCTGTGATAGACTGGTTACCTGTCCAGGTGAACCTGCCTTCACCCTGAGTCAGCTGGGATAGGCTCCGCCCCCCATGACCCTGGTGAGGAATAAGCGTTGGACAGATGATGTATGGATGGGACCTAATACTGGTATAATGAAGTCAGATGGTTAGAAGCATGTGTAGGCTTCAGTTCTTCCATTCGGGAAACACTCTAAAGAACTCAGTGGAAAAGCTTCTGGTGCCGTGTGAGCGCCGTTATGACACCATGACAGCAGTGAGTACGTTTAGTTTGGTTTAACAATCGCCCATCCTTTGGAGCTCTGACTATGAATGCACCTCATTTTCCTGTTGAACAGTTAACTGAAAGTCGACTGTTTAGACTCTTCTCGTTTGTGCAGAATACACGTCCTCCCACCCCTCTCATGATACGCTTAAAGGAGAGTGAAAAAGGGAAAGTGAAGGGCCTTTTCCCAGTCAGTTTATGGACTCCCATCACACAGTCTTGCACCAACTTCTCTGCACATTCAGGCACACAGTGGAGTTCACCTGAGAAGACCAGCTCACCTGTCTTGTAGCGTGTACTCTGTGTTGTCAGGGGAAATCTGTCCAGTCACGGGATGCCGGAACGATGTAGCTCTCAGGCTGTGGCTGCAGGAGAGGGGAGGAAACAACAGCAAGGGAGAGAAGGAAATGAGTACCAAGTCATTAATCATTTTCCTGCCCGATCAACTCCCTGCACATCTGCGTCTCTGCGCTTCTGTGCGGCTGCTGGATGCAAAACCGCAGGAAAGTTTCTCAGCTCACGACGACGCCTCAGTTAACAGTACGAAAAATCCATAGTAGCACTTCAGTGAACCACAGCTCATATTCTTTTACACAAAGTGTAGGACTCAGCACTATCCCTGAGCCATCCCAACAGGCTTTATTGATTTCAATTAGATGGGGCCATTCATTGCTCTAACTAGAGCATAAACGCATGTTACTGTCACATGACGCCGGCGCCGAGAGGATTGAAATTTCACAACATGACTGTGATTGTATTCGCTGTTCTCCGAGGTGTTGCTATATGTGACTGAGATTTGAGCTATTTCATTCCACAACAAAATAGAAAAAAATCCAGGAAATATTTGGTCATGTCAGTAATATTCACTCGGTTTAAATCTGTGTGTCTAAACTAAACGGACACGCTGTCGCCCTGAACCAGCCTTTGGTCATTCAAACTGTACTCTGATGATACTTCTCGTGCTTTAATCTTATTTGTCCATCTTTTCATCTAACAATCACGGTGGGCTAAACTCCAATCGTTCACTGTGTTAAGCGTCTCTGTTTAGTTTTGGTTCCTCAGTGCTAACATCCATTATCCCCTCAAGCTGTGACACATCCTGTAAAACGCTGCTGGCTCATGAATCTTTTGTTTCTCTTGTTTTGGAGGCACATGAGTAGTTTTAAAGACGCATATTCTGTTGAAGTATTTTTTATTTTTTTAAGTAATTTGCATCACATTTTATTGTACTAACATGTAGCAGCAAAGAGGTGTTTGAGCTTCCTACTCATACGTAGCCGAGGCTGTCGGTCGCAGTGTAAGGACAACATACATTAAGTCTAGAAGACTGGAGGCATTAATACATTTAAGTACAAAATGATGCTTTCAAGTCTTCCTTTTGCTAGTGATTATTTAATTTCCCCTGACCCTCTCTTCTTTCCTCTTATCACCACCATGCACACTATTCCTCCACAGTAGCTGAGAAACACTGAGCGCAGGCCTGCAATGAAAACACAAAGTAAATACTGCTGTGCAGAGGCTGGATGCACTGCTGCTGCTGCTGCTTCATAAAAATGCACCCAGGCACAGATAAACAAACGGCTGAGATAAACATGTTGACACTATCCTCACTTAAAGTGTGCCGAGAGTAAATAAATGACTATATATCAAGCAGTAAGGGGTGAATCCTCTGAAGGACAGCTGCTGCTACAAGGTGCTAGAAGGCTGCAGAAGGATACGAGCAGAAGGTGGTTCCTCGCTGCATCGCTGTGAAGCAAAGGGAGGGGAAGCAAACCGAGCGGGGAGGAAAGATTTATGAGTTGACATTTCAACAAAGTTCAGAGGGAATGATGCAATTCTGCACAGACAGAAAACATAACATCAAAAAATAAATACACATGCATTCATGGCTGTGTGTACATCACACACATATGCACCGACACACAAGCAGAACCAGGCCCGGCTCGTTCCCACTAACAACTCATAATGTGCTGAACTACGCCGGGCACACACAGCACTGCACCAGCCTCCCCTGTTAATTAGGAATCTGCATTCTTTGAGGCTTTTGTTTCAGCCGCATTATTTCTGAACTATTTGTCATGGAATTTGCAGCATCCCCAGTTAGCGTACAAACACTGCAGCACAGAAGGTCTATTTGTTTGCCGAAAACTAGTTTCCATTAGAGCTTGTGACAGCGCTGTCCCGAAGGGGAACACACACTCCTGCTGCACAAGAGCGACCACAGTGCCTGGTAGACTATGTAGTGGAGGAACAGCTTTGCTGTCAGTTAGATGTGGTTGCAAGCCACAAGTACGGGGTCATGACTCAACATCACACAAGACCTTATTTGAAATGATCAACAAAACTTTTTTAAAAATCACATTGCAGTGGTGTCAAAAGATGATTTAATTTAAATCCGCTCTCCTCCCAAGTTTCCAAATGTTGTCATACAGCAGTGCTGCTGCACACATTATACTGTGGATAATAGTTTATTGGTTTAAACATATCTCCCCTTCAGTAGAAACACTGTCACGGTGCACAATAACACTTATGTCAACAGTTAGTCACAAATCATCGGCAGCATGTTACAGTGTGCAGGACCGTGAGCCATCGGGTCAGCAGGGTTTCTGTTTCCGGCAGGCCAGATAAAGAAGATAAACGACGACTGGCAGAGAGCGAGGAGACGTCTCCTTAAAGCCCAGTTTAACCCCAGCTCCAAAATCTGGTGACTACAAATTAAAAGGAACTGTTTCGTAAACCGAACTTGATCCAAATGAGTTCTGTTACATCAGCTGAACCGAGTTAGACGTAAAGTAACTTAACGACCTGAGAACAGAGTCTCGCTTTTGAGTTCAGTTAAAACCTCTTTAAGGAATGTGTAGAACCAGCAGCACTGCAACCCAATTCATCAGAGCATGCTCTCGCTCTCTCGCTCGCTCGCTCGCTGCTGCAACAACTGCAGTCCCCGTCCCCGGCTCAGCCCTGGCATGCCATACACACTTTTTTTTTCAGCAAAAAAAAGAGGCTCAGGGTAATTCCTGTCCAACTCAAGTGTTAAGTCTTCACAGCAGGGGCATCAGGGGCAAAGCTCTGTGGGCTGAACACCCCTCTCTCTCTCTCTCTCTCTCTCTCTCTCTCTCTGTAAAAACACACCGAGGCTCCAAACTGCTCCACATCTACTGCAAGACAGAGATCACACCATCCATCCCCTACAGTCCATACTCCTGCATCTTATTACAAAACTTAGGAAGGAACCCCAGGAGAAGAAAGAGAATTCCCCAAACTGTTCCCACTACCAGCCCAGATCTCTTCTAACTACACACTGTGGCCTACGCACACACAGTGAACATAGTCACCTGTCATGAGATTGTGGCTCATCATGAATCAGCTGCTGGACTCGCCGTGGTGCTGCAGGTCATGGAAATCCTCTCGGCATTGTTGTGGCAGGTGGAAGACGCAGAGAGTGTCTCTCATAGCAGCTGGTATCCACACAGACCCGAGTAAAGTGGAGCCAGCCGGATGTGGGCTGAAGGGGGAGCTCTTCATCTCCACTTTCTCCTGCTTCAGTGTGCTGCCTGACTTCCACTCCTGCTGGGTGGACGGTAAAAGATCTGTCTCCCACCCACGAGAGGAGTGCCTCACTGGCTTATCAGATCCTCCTCCCTTTGCATTTTCTTCTCTCCACCTCTACCTCCCGCTTTCTCAGAAACGAGTCTGAAGAAGAAATGTGACGTAGCCGCTGTTGAAGGGGGTGGAAGTAGCGTGCCTCAGTCGCCAGTGTGGTCACGGGAAAAATATCACACTGGTGTGAGGTTGCTGTCAAAATAACGGGTCTGTCTGATGGGTTCTGGTCAGTGTTTGTCTGCTTGTGTCCTCTGAGGGGCAGCGTTGCAGCTACAGGACAGAAGATGTTTTGCTTTTTCACAGTGAGATAATCTCCTTCTATTGGCCAAGTCATTCTCGTTCTGCGATACTGATTTGTGGCTCTATGTAGGTTTTTAGAGGCAACTTCATGAAACGATGAGCAGGAGGGACTCTTAAACACACATCAGCGTCAGTCGACAACATTCATCCTAAACACAAGATAAAACAGATTTATACTAATATACTAATACTGCAACTTGTTCTTGGGCCCCTTCAAGGGCACCTCAAGGTGTCTCCGTTTGAAGTCCTGGTTTAACAGTAACACCGACCTGTAACCTCTGCTAGTTGAACCTAATCCTGGGGAATGCAGACCAAAGAACAGGTGGTACCAGCACACTGTAAGCCAACGTTAAGTCCTGAATCTGACAGACAACAGGGATGGAGGACTGTCTAAGTTTACAGTTTCACCTCTCGTTTTCATTTACACATAATTTAGAAACCACATAGTTCAATGACTCTTCTTTTAGATTTAAATTTAAATACATTCAGACAATGTGGTACATTAAAAATGAAGACAGAGCGGTACAGAATCAAGAGCTCTCGTGTTGAGAGCTCTTGATTCTCATAGCGTCTGTGTTCAGTGCTGTGAATACAGGCAAGAAGAAAAGCCTCTTGTCTCTCTCCATGTGGCCTTCACATGAAGTGTTGCAGTGTCAATGTGGTGTCTGAAAACTCTGGAAGAGTCATGTGGGGCGCCAGATGCCAAGAGAAAGCACGAATGGCTGTTATTTCTGCTACTTTCTATGTTTCCCTGTGGACGGGACACAGCGGAGTCGTGCCGTCCTAAGAAGAGAGTTAAGTCACACTCGCTCTGTGTGTGTCGTAATCCAAGATTATTCCTTGTATGTTTTGGCAGCCAATCTGACGGCTTGGCCACGCCAACACGAGTCCCTCCCTTTGAAACTGTCTGCATTTTATAAACAGTCGGAAACTGACCTCCTGCAGAAGTGCAGTCTGGAGCCTTCAGCCCCAAAAACCAGAGGATTCAAAACAAAATATTATATTCATATTTTGCCTAATATGTGGTTGTTTTGCTGCAACACCTTGCATGGTGGTTAGCACCGTTAGCACCTCGCAGCTAGAAGGTCGCCGGTTGGCGTCCCGGTGAGGACACCCGGGATCTTCCTGCGTGGAGTCTCCATGTTCTCCCCGTGCAGCGTGGGTTCTCTCCGGGTTCTCCGGCTTCCTCCCACAGTCCACAAACATGCTGAGGTTAATTGGTGATTGTAAATTGTCCGTAGGTGTAAATGTGAGTGTGCTTGGTTGTCTGTCTCTAAGTGTAGCCCTGTGATGGACTGGTTACCTGTCCAGGTGAACCTGCCTTCACCCTGAGTCAGCTGGGATAGGCTCCGCCCCCCATGACCCTAGTGAGGACTAAGGTTTAGAGATGATGGATGGATGTGGTTGTTTTACTTCAACTCAGTGTGTTGTGTTTCCTGATGTTGCTTCTCTGCTGTCTGTT